CATGCCTGCCTTCCGTTCCACCCACCCGTGCCGGGGTGGGTTCAGGCTGCTTTAGGTGCTCGCCATTTGACCTTGACAGGCATGGCCTGCGGCCGGTGGCAGCGGTCGGGCTAGCGATCAGGTGACGTAACGAGTGCAGGGCGGATCACGCCGAGCATTGTTTTGTGTTCAACTTTCGGCACCAAATTTTACTGTTGATCTGGAATTGCCCGATCGGATGGTGGGGGTTAGGGTTCACGCAATAAGCTCTGCTCAGCGTGAGTTCTGATTCAAGAAATAAATCCATTTAAAGATTCAGATTAAATATTTTAAATGAAACCGGAGATATGTGATCCTAGAAGTGCTCGGCATTGTCGCAAAGCAGAGATGATCATCGAGTTATAGTATGCAAGCGTTGGTCGAAATAACTAAACCGTACACTCCTTACTGATAGGTTACACCCATCACTACTTTCTCTGCTGCATCTTACTCCCTGAATAGGTTCTCAAAAATCGCGGATCACCAACCGCGCCTCAGCAGCGCAGTGAATCTCGGCACGCCTCTGAACTTCGTGCACCCATGGATCATCCCCCACCCTAGTTTGCCAAGCATTCCTCCGCCCCGCAAATCACGGCCGCTATCACCACGCGCCCTCGGGGGGCGGCGGACCCGCCGGTCGTGTGTCGAGGTCATGACTTGTTAAACAGGCCGGGCCACACGCCACCGGGCGGCGGACGGCGGTCGGCGTCGGCGCCCGGGGGGCCGGTGACGTCCGGTCGCCGTCGGCCGACCCTCCCGATCGATGACGCAAATGAATAACGCAGACGACCGTGCCGCCACTAACAAACATCATCGTAGCCTCGGGGCACGCGCATGATTGCGTATTTATCGGGCCGGCGGCCTGCAGGCGCCCCGCCCCGTTTTTGCGCGCGCCGGTGCCAGCGGTGCCCCCGCGAGAAGCCTGTTGACGCACGCGCAGCGCCGGGGGGGGGGGGGGGCGGCGGGCGTTGGTGGGGCGGGGCGCGGCGCACTCGGCGGAGCAGGTGACGCGCGAGGCTCACAACACCCACCTGTCGGAGCTGCTGCGCCCGCTGGACACCCGGGCGGCACGGCCCTGCGCCTCCCCCGCCGACCTCGGCGCGGCGTCATCGGCAGCGAACTGAACCCGGCAGCGCCTGCTGGAATTGCACGCGCTGTCAGCAACGCATCATCGGCGGATCGGCGTGCCACCCGTTCACCCGCCGCGGTTCAACGCCAGCCAGCCAGAAAACACGGCTTCAACTTGGCTGCTTCAACTGTTATCATGCCAGCGGAAAAGCAAGCGTAGAAGTTCATCATATTCACCGGTTAGGTCACGCTTACCGGGCCGGGTGACTGGGAACTGGCACCATGCACAGGATGCGCGAGTTGCACACGCCGTTGCAGGACGTCACGGCCGGCTCCGGACGGAGGCTCAGCGTGCAGATCTGGCCGACGTAGCCGTCACTGGAGACAGTGGAGAACAACAGGTTATCCTTCCCGCTGGCGCTATAGCATTAGTGCACAACATGTCAGCCCATGTATCGGGCGACTGGTTTTGCTCCATGAAACATTCGTGTTTGAAACCCAAGATGCAAGGAGATATGCTCTGCGTACTTAGTGTTCATTGGTGCATCCCACTTAGCAAGAAACCCATGGTTTAACATTAAACAATACTTGTGTGCTGTGTGTTGACGGGCTTTGTGTCGAGAGTGTCAGTTTTCCAAACATGTCATCTGCATGAAAATATCATACAACAACACTACATCCAGATTTATATTGGGGGAAAACATCACCTTCTTGCTTTACATCGAATTTGCACATTGGGCAACTAGAAATGTATACATCTGTGCAGCCGAATGCGTGCCTTCATATTATGGAGCAGCGATAATGAACACGACACAGCTAAAACCCTCATTTTTGACGCATATCCTAAAACGCATCATTTGAGCCCTCCCTGAGCTCAAATGATGCCGATTATGCTGCCGCCTGCTGTACGCCTCTCCATCACCGCATCCGGCATGACCTGTTGCAGACCCAGACGTCCTTGCCGCTCTCGGTGTGCGGCGCCAGCGTGGGAGCGGCGCACGTGAACTGGAGCCCAGCGCGAGTCTTCCTCACGGGGATCGGCTGCAGGAAGCGGGGCACCGGCCGCTGATCCAAGCTCTCGACTGAGGGGCAGAACACGGGCGGTGAGCGGGAGCAGAGCACGGGCGGTGAGCGGGGGCAGACCATGGGCGGTGAGCAAGGGCAGAGCACGGGCGGTGAGCGGGGGCGGACCACGGACGGTGAGCGGGAGCAGAGCACGGGCGGTGAGCGGGGGCAGACCATGGGCGGTGAGCAAGGGCAGAGCACGGGCGGTGAGCGGGGGCCAGACCACGGACGGTGAGCGGGAGCAGACCATGGGCGGTGAGCAAGGGCAGAGCACGGGCGGTGAGAGGGGGCAGAGCCCGGGCGGTGAGCGGGGGCAGAGCACGGGCGGTGCTAGAGCTCGGGCGGTGAGAGGGGGCAACCATGGGCGGTGAGCGGGGGCAGAGCAACGGGCGGTGAGAGGGGCAGAGCCCGGCGGTGAGCGGGGGCAGAGTCACGGGGGGCGGTGAGCGGGGCAGACCATAGCAGGCTTGCTGCGGTCTTCAAAAGCAGCGGACACTGACAGCTCCTGGCTTTATCATACTGGCACCTTGGTTGAATCGTACGTTTAATTTGTTTTGAATGGCCTCGCTCAAAACCGATGCGCGCGGTGGTGTTAACCGACCAGACAGCGGATCTTAAGCAGCGCCACCGATAGAAGCATAGTAGAGCGGAACTGCAGGTGTCCGACCAATAATTGCGTGCCCCATGCACTCGTTGCGATGGTGGCCACAAAGAGGATGAATGTCAATCATAATGACACTATGTACATCATGCATGTACATCAGATACTGGAGGAGCCGATGGCGCAGCGGTTAAGCAGCCGTCTGTGAACCGGTAAGCACCGGGTCGATTCAGCGCTCTTCCCGCCCTTCCTGCCGCATGTTCTCAGCGGCTGGGTGCGTCGTGAAGTCCTATTGACGACGTAGCTTGGGTGCTAATTTAGACAGCACACCAACGCAGTACGTACCTAATTTGTGTTTCGTCTGGTTAAAAAGCTGTTCCCAGGTCACCCGCTTGTCCACGTCGCTGAAGCTTGCGGTGATGTTCTCCGTGCACTCCCTAAAAACAGACATATTGACATCATAGGTGTGGAATATGGCACAGTTTTGGATTTTTATTATCAACTTAATGATGTTCTTTGATATTTTTAACACTGAAAATTTGCGAGGGCTGGGAGTGTAAATCAAGCCAGTATGAATGTGCCTTCAAGTGAGACATTCAAACAATTCATGGCAGTGGTATGGACTAACGGCGAGCAAATTACTCACATCCACGATCTTTTGAGATCTGAGACAGCAACGCTCTTTCCAGCGATGTAACGAAAGCCACCGTCCCAACCACGTAAATTACGTCCGAATGACACCTCAGGTGGCACGGGGTGTAGGAGGGCGGCACCGATTCTCACTCCCGTTCAGTTATGCACCCTGTTGACACAGCGGTGTCTACGGATACATGATGTCCGGCAGCGCAGGTCACGGAGCCCCCACCCTGAACCTGGGCCTCTGCCGCCCGGCCCGAGTCCCTGAGCATTGACTTGGATCAATGACTCCTGACCTGAGTTCACGAGTCCCGACCCGAGTTATTGACCGCCGGGCAAAGCCCCTGCTACTCACCCCGAGTTCCTGATGTTTTAACTGCGCCTCTGACCCGACCATTGACGTGAACCCTGACCAGAGTCCTGACACCTGACTTAAGCCACTGACTCCTGACCTAAGCCTCTTAGCTCCAACTTGCGCTCCTGACCCCTGATTTGCTCTCTTGACTCCTGTTCGGAGGCCTCTGACCCCTGACCTAAGCCCAGCACCCTGACCTGGCCCTCTGACCCCTGACCAGAGTCTCTGACCCCTGGCCTCGGTCTATGAACCCTGACATGACCCACTGAACCCTGACCGGAATCGGGTACTCACTCGCTGGTGACCTGCAGTCGCAGCATCAGCAGTTGGCTGTCTGCTCGGTGCCGCTCCGTCAGCTCCCGGTTCAGCACGTGCGCCATCTCGCGCACTAGCTCCTCCACCTGGTAATTGGGAACAGTGGCGTGATCATCTCATACACCAGCCCCTTCACCTGGCAACGAGGAGGGATGATGTCATCAACTCGGTTCCTCTTTACGGCGGCGCTATATCACCGTATCGTGGCTGTGGTCAACATGTGGCAGTGTGTCATTTTGGTTTGCCTAGATCTGATTGGACAGGGTTTGCCACGAGCTGACTGTCCTTGCAATCACCTCCGGGGTTTTCAATGGGTTTTGGAGCTTATTTATAAAGTGATCGTACCCAGTCGTCCGTTTTCTGATCTGTAAGCTGGGCACACATCGCCGAATTCTCGTAGTCGTTGGCGCCGTGACTCTGAGAATCTCGCGAGATATGTGATCGACCTACGTTATGAAAATTCCAAACCGGAAATGGCCCATCAATGAATTGGTGATAACTTGCTGATATTATTTCAGCTAACAACCAAGAAATAAAACAAAGAACATGTAGTTTTAGTTGGGCCATGATTATCAATCCATTTTTTAGTCACAACGCCACTAAAAGGGAGTATGCCACCTTTTTTGTGTATGTGACTGACTGTTAGACCAAATGTGTCAAAACTGATTCATAACGCCAGTTTTCCCGAAAGCCTTCTAAAAAGCTCACAATTTATATTCAAAGTAGTCCGACCCTGCGGGAAAAAGAGCAATGGATTTCATGCCAAGCACTATGAAAGAAATACATTGCAATTTCTCATGTTTTTTCGGGCTTGCGTGTTCTATGCTTGCAACATATTTATTGTAAAAATATTTGTGTAGTGAATGCTGTGAAAGCTTGAAATACCTTTCTTAGAAAACGAAACATGCAAGATGAGGCTGTTATCCCGCGAATTCAACAAAATATTATGCCATGGTTTTGATTTCTCTCCTTTGGCGTTTTATCACAGTGGCTGTTTTCGAGGCGCACTTTGGCTTTGGACTGCTCATCTCGATAACTGACCTTTGCCGCCTCCTGAGCCAATAACAAACGTGGGTTTTGTACCGACATCACTCATACCAGGCTTGCAACGCGCGGGTTAAAACGGCTCAAAAGTGTACCGCAAGTCCGTAACAGCTGACAACGGCTCTCAACTAATTCTGCTGTCGTCATGACGACGGAGATCGTGACAGCTGCAGATATCACGGACTCATGCTACACTGGGGCTACGAAGAAAGGAAGAAGTGTATTGCTGTGAAAGACCGTTGACAGTACACTGAGGACTCGATAATAATTAAGTTAATTTCCCTATTATATATTAATGTTGCTGCGCAATGCTGATAGGCATTCTCTTTAAAGATAGCGTTCGGTGCATGAGTTGCATTTGTGTTTTGTTCGTGTTTTGTGCTTTTAGCTGTGTTTTTCTTTGTCATTTATGCTGTTTTTTAGGTTAAATGTTTATTGATATGTTGGTTCGTTTATTTGGTATTAGTGTTTTGTATGTTTGTGTTATTTACGTTCTTATTCAGATACTTTTTGGGACGGTGCTACAGCACGTCACCTATTGCCTTTGTCTCTAATGTTATAAGTCTAAATGCATTCCCGTATGTTGGCGTTACGCCAACAACCGAATGGAGCAGCCATGTTTATGTTGCGTCAGATCACCGCGTTCTATCCGTTCAGCTCCCGCATTGGTTCTGATCACTCTGTCAGATGTGGCAGATCGTTTGCCAAAGAAACTACTTGGGAACTTAGAGTGATGTCTCATGGAATGTAGCGCAGGCCTGTAGCTGAACTTTGAATTTCATCTTACGTAATCGGAAACAGGAGCGTTCCGCCAACGATTTTCCGAGAATAGCTGTGCCCGATTTCCGACAGCTGCCGACCCAGATCGCCTAAGGTCACCTGAAGGCCACTGTCTGCCTAAAAAATATGGATTCATTTAGAGAAAGCTTGGAACTTCTGTGGTCTTCTTACGCCAAACAAGCTGTAAAAGCGGAGCAATGTTGTCGCTTAATAGAGCGTGAAGTTATGTTTGGGTTCATGGTAGACGTGAGATAAGTCGCTCCCTCAAGCCGAAAAATGAACGTGACATGATTGGTTTTGAGTAGGGAATAAATTGCAAAAACTGAAAAGTTAGGCACTCAAAAATCGAACAATTATTTCTGATAGTCCGGTGGGACGTCAGCCTGCAATGACGTCACTCTATACCTGTCCGCCGGTAGGTGGTGTGGACCACATTCAATGGCTGACAGAGTGACGTCGCAAAGTGGTTTCGGTTCGGGAAACTACGTAGGTCGAGGAATTTTGGGTTGAGATAGCTGCAAAAGCAGTGATTAAAAGTTGAAACATCTGATGAGAATTATGTATTGTAGATCCGTCTTTTCATAAGTCAGATTTCTGTGTGCAGTAAATTAAAGTATGCTAAAAGCATGCTGAATCTATCCTGCAGTGTATGTCATTCTAGCTAGCAACATACAACTGGCGATGTTTAGTCAATGCTTGCCTAATCATCAGCGATAACTGTAAATGTTTCACGTAATTCTAACATGCGTATGTTATATATCTAGCTATACTGTACCTGGATACCCATGCCCTTATGATCCTGTTCCCGACACAAAGTATTCAACCTCAAGGTACGCATAGAACCATCACAGCTGAAAGGAATATAGACCACGTGATACATATGTTACTTGAAGCCAAAGTGTGCTTCGAAGAGAATCACTGTGCTAGCCTTCATAAGGGAGAAATTGAAGTCACAGTGCGACGTTTCGTTGAATTCGCGCTATAATGACCGCATTTGTGTTTTCCCTAAATAGAGTGTGCCAGGGTTTCGTAACATTTAGTGTGCAAGCATTTCGACGAACTAGTGCATTAAAACGCCACAGAATACACACGTTGAAAAAGCAAAGCAAATAAAAGGTATTTCTTTCAAGGTGATGAGCACAGATCCGGATGAGATTTCTCCTATCGGAGCGGCTTCTTGAAATCGAAGTTCTGAGCTATCCAGACGAATTTCGAGAAAACTGGTATTACCGATCAAATCGGACGCTATCTAACAACCGGTGAAAAGTATAAAAATGTAACGCACTCCTTTCCGAGAAGGGGAACATAATGCAAAGTGTTGGACCACATGCTGCAACAAGGGCCACCGTGGCGTATGACTGAGAAGGTGGGTGCCGCTTCGCAGTGTTCCGCGCAGGACGTGTTAAAGCTGTTTGGCTCCAGACCGCACGTCAGCACAGCCATCGGCTGGCGAACAGCACAGCTTGTTAAACACACTATGGTTTCTAAATCTAGCGAGCCTGATATGATTATTTATTCTGCTGCACCCGGATGCGTGGTGGGAATAGGATTGTTTGTTTGGCTCTGGCGTGCTCTGAGGCGGGCGACGTTTGGGGAGTGTGAGCTTGTGCTGAAGCTAGAACTTAAACACAGGCTCAAAGGTGCCTGCCTCCATCCCTAAACGACATCGATCCTATCCAGGGGGCTGCAGGCTTCATTTGTAAGGATCTCGCAAATAAGCTGGGAGGGAAAGTTGAAGTGTCTCCAGCGCTTCACAAGTCTCAGAGAAGTCCGAAGAGTCAGACGACATCTCCTCAAAAAAAGACAGAGTCGGAAAGCCCTGCATGTCTTAATATTAAATCAAGGAAACCTAAAGGCACTTTTGAGACCTCAGTGTCATGTCCAGGACCTTTCCAATGCGTTTTTCTCCTGAACACCTTTCGCGTGAGCTTCTTAGTTGCTGGGATATTCACGATCTCGGAAAAGAACCGCGTCGTCGTATTATTTGCCGTGTTTTTTTTTCATCTCTCATTCGCTCGAGTCTTGACAGACCACCTTATGGCTAGGTGATTACTTCGAGCTCCGATTCAGCCGGGACTGCCAGTCCATTTTGTGGGGTCATTTGTCCTCTGATATCGCATGGAAGTCTCCAAAGATATGCCTATTCTAAACAAGGAACTTAGGTTACTAGATTAAAAAGTGCAAAATAAAGCTATCTCGAAGCAGTTAGTGTCTGTTTCATACACATCATTTTGCGAGTATCAGTAAATGTCGCAGAAAAGCCTTTACCCGCGTAGACCACCGTTTTCTAATGAAGCGGAGCGGGAGAGCTAATAATGACGGAAGTCGTCTTTCGAAGAGATGCAAGCGTTCATCAGCTTTGATCCCGTCATGATGGCCCGTCAAAACAGTCATAAACGGCTCATGGCTTACAACACTCTGTAGATGGCATGATGGGGGCCCCAAACGCCGAGCCGGGACGCGTCATGATGAACTCTGAGCCCAGTCTCGCTTCAGCATACAAACGGTCCCGCAGGGGAGGGTGACGCGGTTAACGGGTCCCGGACCAGCGGGGTCCCGCGCACGTGAGAGGGCAGGTACCAGCCGCAGTCCAAACACGTAGCCATCCCCCGTGCTGGCGAACAGGCTTGGGCCACTGAGGCTGCGCTGACGCTTAGGAACTTTCCACAACTCTACGAAAATTACATTCAGCTTGAGCATATACTGAGTAAATACTTTTTCACCGCAACTCTGGCCTTCCGTCCAATTAGCACAGTGGCTGGTTATGGGTATTGACGCGCCTCACCTAGTGATGGTTGCTGCGTGCTTCATCTGGTGTTGATTGCTGCGAGTCTCGCCCGGTGATGGTTGTTGCGTGCCTAACCTAGTGTTGGTTGCTGCGTGCCTCACCTGGTGATGCCCCACCTGGTGATGTCTCATCTGGTGATGATTGCTGCTTGCCTAACCTGGTGCTAGTTGCTGCGTGCCTCACCTGGTGATGGTCGTTACATGCTATACCTGGTGATGGTTGCTGCGTGCCTCACCTAGTGATGGTTGTTACATGCCTTACCTGGTGATAGTTGCTGCACACCTCACCCGGTGATGGCTGATGCATGCCTCACCTGGTGATGGTTGTTGCATGCCTCACTTGGTGATAGTTGCTGCACTCCTCACCTGGTGATAGTTGCTGCACACCTCACCCGGTGATGGCTGATGCATGCCTCACCTGGTGATGGTTGCTGCGTGCCTCACCTGGTGATGGTTGTTACATACCTTACTTGGTGATAGTTGCTGCACACCTCACCTGGTGATGGTTGCTGCGTGCCTCACCTGGTGATGGTTGTTACATAACTTACCTGGTGATAGTTGCTGCACACCTCACCTGGTGATGGCTGATGCATGCCTCACCTGGTGATAGTTGCTGCACACCTCACCTGGTGATGACTGATGCATGCCTCACCTGGTGATGATTACTGTATGCCTCACCTGGTGATGATTGCTGTGCAGCTTGCACACCAGCACGCCCATCTGCCGGAGCGTGCTGATGTCCTGGTCGATCCTTTCCACCTCCTTCATGAGCACGCTCGGTTCCTCGGAGTGATCTGTATCGATCACCCAGTCAAGCAGCCGGGTCAGCACGTGATCTGCCCCAGTGCTCCGTGGCCGTGACACAGCATGGTGAGGTGCCACTTTCCGGCATTCATGGCACCGTCCTTTGGTGCCAGCAGACCATGTCTACAGCAGGCCTGTGTACTGAACGTCAGTAAAAGCGTATTGTCGGAAACATTCACGTGGCGCGACCTGTCATTCACGGCATCAGAAAGGCAACACATCACCTAGCTGTGAACATACGTGTCCAAAAACATACACACATCACGCTACATGGACATTTGCATGAGAGGCGTGGGCTTCTTCGGCACGTTCTCGTTCATGTATTCCGACGAATCACGAGCTAAGGGAGTCAAGACATTGTCCGGAGACGGTGCTGAGCATGCGAACATCCGTTTGCCGGCTCGCGTTCCGGTAGCGACTGGTCTATACCGATGGGGATTCAGTTTGTTGTGTGAATGAGAAGCTGACTTCATGGTTGCGACTGGTCTGTACTGGTGTGGATTCAGTTTGTTGTGTGAATGAGAAGCTGACTTTATGGTAGCGACTGGTCTGTAATGGTGTGGATTCAGTTTGTTGTGCGAATGAGAAGCTGACTTCATGGTAGCGACTGGTCTGTACTGGTGTGCATTCAGTTTGTTGTACGAATGAGAAGCTGACCCCATGGTGATGCTGAGCGGCCATGACAACGATCACCCAGTGGCAGTGACTTTGAACGACTTAGATGTAGACGTCGCTCTCTGTGTTTGATAAATGATCTGCGGTTCTGCAGGAGAGTGTTGTTCCGAAAACACTGACCTCTTGCTATGATGACATCTGAAAGCGGTATCTTCATCAGGAATTTGTACTTGTTCGGTTCCAGCCCATTCGTTGAATTGTTGTGCAGTGGCCTGCAATATCGTTTGCATTTTTAAAACAAATTAACATCTTGTCGAGCCTTGCTTACAGAGCCCGGCTGTAGAAAATGGTGCAATGATCACAATGGAAAAGTGTCACACTGCAAGTCAAGAGCTGCAACAGAATTAAGGCGATGCTTCCGGGCCTTTAAGAGAGGATGCCCGACACCCAGTCAGCGGCTGTGGACAGCGATGACGTCTGATGGCAGAGCAGAACCATGGGCTCTCAGTGACACTCACGGGGTTTGTTTGCGTGTAGTGCTGCCCGGCCTCCTCTTGATGCCAGCGATGACGAGCAGGTCACTGAACAGCAGCAGGCAGCGCTCCCTCTTGGTGCCAGCCGACGTTGTCATGGTGACCACGTCGTGTCGCAAGAACTCCCTTTTAAGTGGAAAGGCAGGATTGACAAAAGTCTTCAGAGGACAGCTCGCACATAGTTGGTTTTGTATATATTTTAATGGATTTTGTCACACTGATTCACTGTATACAAGACGTGTGGCCAGGGTTACGTATAGCTGGTAGACTTATGAGCAGACGCAGGCCCTTATGATATACGATTGAGTATACTCGTAAAACTTCGTGTTCTTAAGGAGAGCAGTAAGGAGTTTTTAAGATGGCATACGTCAGCACCTGCAGGGCCCCCTGCTGCCCTCCTGCAACGCCTCCTGCCCGCCTGCAACGCATCCAAACTCCTAGCTGTTATCTGTCCCCTCCGCTTCCCAGTAGTCACCAATATGTCCCAACCTCCCGGCACCAGTACACCAAACCTCCCGGCACCCCACGTCGCACGTCTCACCTGTCGTGTGTGACCAGCCCGTCCAGGCCGTCGACGGCGGCCTCCATGTGACGCAGCATCTGCTGCCGGGCCTCGGCGCGCAGCGTGGCACGCTGCAGGCCGTTGATGCGCGCCGCCAGCTGGTGGATCTCGCTGCAGGCTTCGCGCAGCGGCCGCAGGTCCGGGTGCTCCGTCGGCGTGTGTGCCACCAGTTGCTGCCCACACGAGGGGTCGCGCGCCAGTGAGGTGAGGTGGCAGTGAGAGGAGTGGAAGCGGCGCCGCTGCCAGACACGCTCGCCCCGCCCGGGTGGAAGACTGGAGCGCTGAGGTGAGGTGGCGGAGTGAGAGGGGCAGAGGCGGCGCCGCTACCAGGCGCGTTCGCCACCGCCCGGGTGGAATACTGGAGAGGTGAGGTGGCAGAGTGAGAGGGGCCGAGGCGCTGCCGCTGCCTGGCGTTGCCCGGCGCGCTCGTCCCGCCCGGGTGGAATACTGGGCCGGTAAAGTGAGGCTGCGGTAAGAGGACAGGGGTGGCGCCGCTGCCCGGTGCGTTCGCCGCCGCCCGGGTGGAAGACTGGAGAGGTGAGGTGGCAGTGACAGGATCAGAGGCGCCGCCGCTGCCAGGGGCGTTCGCCGCCGCCCGGATGGAGAACTGGGCCGTTGAGATTGTGATCGTGAGCCGGGAGATGCTGATGTCAACTGACACACATAAAATAGCGTTCTAGGATTCGAATTGCGGATGTTGGGGTCGGAAACGTGCTATAAGCGCAGGTTTCATGCGTTTGTATTTCTGGATGGTCATTTCTTATGTAGGCTGTTGAGGAAGGTTAGCACCTGTTTATCTATCGATAGGACTACGAGGAAGGCTTATTTCACCAACGCTTCATCATGTTTAGATAAGGTGCGATGCAGTACACCTCATGCTTGTAGCATACGCATTGGTCTTTCAGTTATCCGTTTTGCTTTAATTGGTGATGAGTGGTGGCTAGAACGTGTTGTTTTAACGAGACACGTCACCTGTCGACTGAGTGTTGCTCTAGTAGTGACGTGATGAATAAATAAACAAGCAAACATCCATCGCATCTGTTCGAGACAGCTGCGCCTCACAGACGCGAGCCATCGCTCGCGTAGTGTTGGTCGCGCTCGCATGGGTTCAGTCGTTTGCCGAAAGCTTACTGCTTTCTTGTCTAGGAACCAGCTCCTGTGTACACACCGCCATATTCTAAAGCATGCCGCATCCGTTCAGCTGCTGGCCAGCACATAACTCTTCCAGAACCACCCCTATTCGAAGTGCACGTACGCTTGTGCTGGGAGCCGCGGCTACCTGTTGAGACCTCTCACCCTGACTGAGCTCGTCCGGGATACGGACAATGGCAGCTCTTTAAGGAGCCGCGGTGCCGCGGGGCCGCGCGGTCGGGAGTCAGGACAGAGAGGTCGTGGAACAGTCTGAGTGTCGGCTTTTGCCACTAAAACCAATGTTTGTGTGAAACGTTGGTTAGCATATAGGCATGTACCTCCCGGGTACATAGAAGGTCGGTATCCGTCAGCATAAGAACTCCGAGCTCATAACACGGAGAAACCAAGAGAGCAAGGGCTTTCTCACCGCTATCATAATTTGTCCGCTTTGGTTATGAGGTCAGTGGAAGGCCAACACGCAAGGGCGTAGTTTCACAAAATGAGTTGGGGCTGAACAGTGTAAAATCACCCAGCCTGCCCCAAAGTATGCCACCAAACAGGTTTCCCCTGATTTGGCCCACTTTCTTCCCAAAGTTGAGGGACTGAAGCCTAGGTTGAGTGGAGGAGACTAGGGTCCCCCCCCCCCCCCTCCAACTGAATAGGAAACTACACTCTTGCCAGCACGGTTTTGTAGTAATGACATTTCGGGAACGGGCCCCGCGAACAAAACGAATGGTCCAGAAGGGATAACACATCCGGCATTGATGTTGGTTGTTATTTTATACACATTCAGGGAGACTCAGCCTTTCCGTATTCGAGACAAAATCGCCTGAAGACATGTTTGGCAGGCCGAGGTTGATTAAAAGGCTGATGCAATGGCGAATTCATGGCTTTACTTGTGCGCACATTGAGCCTTTAGAGTTATATTTTTGTGGCACTAATGACTTTAACGTCCACGCTTGCATGCACTTACATCGGCTTCTTGCAGTCGGTTGTTTATAGTTATATATATATATATATATATATATATATATATATATATTTGTGTGTATACATATATATGTAGCTTGTCATTGTTACAGAGCTCTGCCGACCGGCAGGGGCCGCTCTAAAGATGTGGGATGCGGAAATTAAGTAAAGGATGGTTTAGTACTGTGGTCATACTACATTAACCCGGAGCCCGATGTTAACTCCTAAGGGAGAACCCCGCCGTCAACACCCCTCTCATTCTTAACTCAACAGGGGGTCCCGCCGTCTAGACCCCGCCCATGTTTAACTTCACAGGAAGTCCCGCCGTCTAGACCCCGCCCAATGCTAACCGCGCAGGGAACCCCGCCGCGCGCTCAATACTGACCCCGCAGGGAACCACGCCGTATAGACGCCACCCGATGCTAAGCCCGCAGAGAACCTCGCCGCCTTGTGTGCGGGCTGCGCGGCTGCTCGGGCCTGACTCGCAGCCTTGGTAGCCGTTAAGTCGATCCGCCCGGGGGAGGCCGCGGTCAAAACACGGTGGCGAGGCGTACAAAAGGTGTAGGGTTAAGCGTGAAAGTGGATCAAAAGGCGGATGTAGCACGATTACACAGGCAGCGCTTACAGCATGTCAGGCGCTGTTTCTCACCTGATAGAAACATTTGATTCGTATCCGTGACGACAAAACAAAGCAAGCGGTGCGGTCTGGTGCGGCGGTGCGGTCTGGTCACCGCGCTGGCAACGACACGTCCATCCAAATTACTTGGCTAACCTTACCTTGAGAAGCAGCTCGTATCGTGGAATCCTCTGCACCGGCATGATGAGCAGCTGGGTGAGGCTCAATTTTCGTTTGTTGGATCGCTCCAGAGCCTGCCATAGGCGCAGCGTCAGCATTGCGCCGAACCCACCACTGCACGCTGGACCTCCGATGACTCAGCGGTAGAGACCTAATCGTGTTGCCATCGCTTTGTAGCCGACTTTCCACTTATAAGCATACGGTGTCTCGCTCATTACAGAGCTCACAAAAGATTTGAGGCGTTTACTTTCTTGATCTATTATCTTAATTATTAATTATTTGTCAAGCGATCAAGACCATGACTTTGTACATGCCGCTGCCGCTCATCCAGCTAGAAAAAATTTGTCAGATTTCTAGAAGTGACTAAGCTGCGGGAGCTCATCGGCATGCACGACGCCCTGCTGACGTAACAGAACCGATGAAACCGACTTCACGACCGACCCTTCCGATGCATTTCATTCCGCCGACTTTTACTGCCTCACTGTGGTTACGACTGAATCGACGTTTGGGTTTTCTCTGTGCAATACACAAGCACGGGAGTCATCGCATATTTCGGCCGGCCATCATCACATCCTATCGATGAACCGGCACCAAATGAAAGCGGTTTGGAGGACGTCATACCAAGTATCAACGGTGCCGAACCGACCCTGGCCCGTCGGTCGAACGCTCTGGCGCGCAGCCAGGGTGCTTGACGGCTTTACCATCACTCTCGGAGCGTTAATTGAGGGCCAGTTCGGTGCGGGACGCGCGGTAGTTAACTACATCAGTTCGGCTCCATCGGTGACTGGGAATAAATCGTGTCGTAAAACTGACAGATAATAATAGACCCCAGTCAGGCTGCTCTCGCATGGCTGTCGAGTCCCGTCACGCTGAATTGTTAATCGCCAAGAAGCTAAAGCGGCTCCGAGCCAGTTCATGGCTGCGAATGATCCAGCTCAAAAGTGGCTTCTGCTGCGATGCACGCGAAGTAGTGTGCCTATGGGTGTCTTAAACCCACCATTGGATCAGGAATGAATCCAGTTTACAAGCACGCCAATCCTCTACGCCAAAACGCTTGTACGTGAGACGAGCGATCAGACGTTGGTAGCATCGCCTACCTCCAGAAACCTGGCCAGCTCCGGTTTGGCCCGGCACGACCGCAGCAGAGCCTCCCTGGCAGTCGGCCAGTGGTTCACAAACGCCGTGTAGGTGTCCAGAACGGCGGTATGCGTCAGCTGAAACACGTGACGTCAGCGTCAGCGCCGCGCCAGCGCTGCCGTCGGTCATCAAGTCACCCGCCCCCAGTGCTCCCATCGGTCACCGAGTCACCCACCCACGCCAGGCTCGGTGCCGTCCCTCCCGGCGCGTCAGAGGCGACACCGCTCTGTCTGGCGGTTTCGGGCGGGGCGCTGGGTACGTCAGGAGGCCGCGCCCCAGAGGTACCCACGTACCTTTGGGGCGCGGCCGCCTGACGTCTCTGGCGAAGCCAGATGCACAGGCAGGCCATGTGTTCAGCTGCTGTTTTAGAATTCCCCGTCCAGGTTTTCCAGCCATGGGCCCGTGGATCGTGCTCTAAGATTTGCTGCTCAAAATATGTTTGGGCAGTAATTTTGCCTCACACAGTCATCTATTAGTGACTTACCTATATGTTTAATTTTTAATGGTATGTGCAGCCATGACTTCAATACCATGTGAATATTTCTCATCATGATAACGCTTAATTGCTGGTTATACAGTCCCACTGAACCAAATGAAATTGATAATGCGAGTTACTTTCTACACCAAATCTTTATTTACCCATTTGTCATAAGCTTGCAGTGAGTAATACAACATGAAAATGCCTCGAATAGCTCAAACAGAATGCCTGCCATCTTATTATCCTTTTCCAGCATGTGCATGGATACTACGGACTCGTGTCTCAAAAACGGCAGTGTCGTGTTATTGTGTAGTCGGTGTACCGTTTGCATTTCTAGTTTGATTTAGTGCTCGCTTCTCGTATGTTGACTCACTTAGTTCGCTATCATCTTGGGTCTAATTTAGTGTTAGTCAGTCCATGCTATTTTCGTAATCATTTTGTATTGCTAATTTTAGTTTCTGTTCTGTCTGTTTCCGCTCTGTTTAGTTCTAGGTCTAGTCTGTCCATTTCCGAGGTTTCATTGTTTCCCTGTCAGCGCCCCCGAGGAGTTGATGCGCGGCGTTGGCGATGGGCAGTCATCAAATACAGTGCACCTGAAACCTCGGTGTCTTCGACGTGGCGGCCGTCTACAACTGCTCTGACTTCATTGGAAAGTTGCTCATTTGGCTTTAGTTATAAAATGTCTATGCTTCGGCACATTTTGTTGCACGTTCCACTGCAATGATGTACCCTTTGGTCCCACACACTGATTATCCCGTGGAAGGCTCAGAAAACGGATAGAAAAATAAGCATTTTACAAATAACACGCGCTGAGTAAACTTTCTGATGTAAACATTCGGTTGTCTATATCCAGCCAAACTCAGTCTCATCAGAGACGCAGAGCCTTCTCTCATTGCCGCCTAGCCCTCCGCAAACGTCTTCCCATCCCGTCACATGTGCTCGTGTTCACTGTAAGGCGCGCCCATTCGTCAGAGCGCATTCTTGTGCCGTGCTGGCCGTGGTGGGCGGCGGCTGGACAGCGGAAGGCGCGGCTGCGAGCTGTCTGCCGTCTGGTGATGAGGACAGAGCCTGAAGCAGGGGAGCGCCGACGGCGCTGGCACGCGGCGGCCCGGCCGTCAGTGAGTCGCCCCGGCGGTCGGTGACTGTCGCCCAGCCCCGCGCCCCGGCGGTCGGTGCTGTCGCCCAGCTCCGCGCCCTGGCGGTCGGCGACTGTCGCCCAGCTCCGCGCCACGGCGGTCGGTAACTGTCGCCCAGCTCCGCGCCCCGGCGGTCGGCGACTGTCTCCCAGCTCCGCGCCACGGCGGTCGGTAACTGTCGCCCAGCTCCGCGCCCTGGCGGTCGATAACTGTCGCCCAGCTCCGCGCCACGGCGGTCGGCGACTGTCGCCTAGCTCCGCGCCCTGGCGGTCGGTGACTGTCGCCCAGTTCCGCGCCCCGGCGGTCGGCGACTGTCGCCCAGCTCCGCGCCCCGGCGGTCGGTGCTGTCGCCCAGCTCCGCGCCCCGGCAGTCGGTGCTGTCGCCCAGCTCCGCACCCTGGCGGTCGGCGACTGTCGCCCAGCTCCGCGCCACGGCGGTCGGTAACTGTCGCCCAGCTCCGCGCCCTGGCGGTCGATAACTGTCGCCCAGCTCCGCGCCACGGCGGTCGGCGACTGTCGCCCAGCTCCGCGCCCTGGCGGTCGGTGACTGTCGCCCAGTTCCGCGCCCCGGCGGTCGGCGACTGTCGCCCAGCTCCGCGCCCGGCGGTCGGTGCTGTCGCCCAGCTCCGCGCCCCGGCGGTCGGTGCCGTCGCCCAGCTCCGCGCCCTGGCGGTCGGCGACTGTCGCCCAGCTCCGTGCCACGGCGGTCGGTAACTGTCGCCCAGCTCCGCGCCCTGGCGGTCGGCGACTGTCGCCCAGCTCCGCGCCCTGGCGGTCGGCGACTGTCGCCCAGCTCCGCGCCCGGCGGTCGGTAACTGTCGCCCAGCTCCGCGCCCTGGCGGTCGGCGACCCCAGAGGTCAGCTGTGGCCGTGGAAGCGCTTTCAGTCGATGCTGAAGTAACGCCTCGGTGGATAAGGAAGCGGAGTGCAGGCACAATGTGGAGACTGGAGTGGCGGGTCGGGAAAGGCTAGGACAAGTGGTATTCGTGACAATACAGCTTGCTGTTTACTTTATAATTTTTTCAGCTTGCATTCTCTGCTTCTGAATTGACACAGCGCGAGGAATATGGATGCCATGAAACTTTACTCGATGACCGCTAGAATTCACCGGAATAAGTGGTGATGTTCCGGATGTCCCAAAAAACCTGATACCGTTTTATGTTGTCTTTACCTTGGTGGCTCGAGTTCATCAAAGCCTTCACACTTTGAGGGACCGGTCTCACATGTGTGTTTAAGTTTTCACTACCATCGATTCGGCAGTTCGTTCCAGGCAGTCCGGTGATAGCGTGTCTGTAATAGGATCCTTTGAATTATTATTAGTACCTGGCACGAGGCCAACCCTTTCCGGCATCATGTGTGTGCTGAGGGAAGTCTAAGCTGCTCTTGGAATGAAAGCGAGCCTCAAAAGAAACGCGGAGTGGTTGTACAAGGACCGCGCACTGCCCCGAGCCGCCAACGTGATCGCGGAGGAGCTAAAACCACGCTTCGGAGGAAGCACGGCTAAGCAGTTCTTCGATGTGTCTCGTTACCACATTCCCGAAGCTTAGTCAACTGGATTCCTACTCTTGGGGTATTTAAAGCAAACGGTGTAAAGACCCTTCCAACGCAGGCGGTGAGAACCATCCCCAAGCAACAGTTTTCGACAAAGTCAGACACCTACCAAAGGTAATTCTGTCGCGCACAAACCACAATCCCAGCACCTGCAAAATTCGGCAGAAAGCGATGTGTCCGCTATCTCCTATCACTAGAATGATCCAAAAAACTGCGCTGAGGCAGACAGATCTGACTCAGAAAAACATCTGTTTTGGTGAAATCGGTCCCAGATAGTAAACCAGCTACAGCTCTATAGTTAAAGCACAAAGTTAGTTGAAAACAGGGCCGGTTTTCGAGACGCTGAATGTTGAAATACCACATGCGTTGTCGAACAACCAATGCACCGTTTATGGATCTGTACCCTGCACACTTGCTTGGTAGTGATTCTTAGTACTGCTTATGCTGAAGCACGTATGTAAATATGCAGATGCGTTTGCGTGCGAGCAAACCTGTGAACTCCCTATTTCCTAGCTAGCTACGCTATGCCGGTGTGTGTCCATTTGGCTCGAAGAGATAGCCCCCGTGCGTTATTTACGCCGCACTAACAGATGGGACGCTCTGCGCCGGTCCGTTGCCGCCAGCTCGCTGCCTGCAGCCGACACGTCGTGATTGATCGGGACGTTAATCTGACGGGCGGCAGGCGGCCGGGGCGGGCCGGGCCTGTCCGTGCCGGGCCCCGTCACAACACCGGCTGCCGGCGCTGGAGCGGCGCTGCGCCGGTGCGCCCGCGTCAGCTGCAGCGCGCGGCGCAGAGCGCCGGGCCGCCCCGGCCGCCCTCGCTCGGCGCCAGCCGGGGCACGCCTGTCGGGGTTCGGCGCCAGCGCGGTGTGCGCCGCTCCCGCTGCCGGTCAGGGGCCGAACGGCGGCGCACGTGCGCCGTAGCTGGTGCCTGATATTTGAAACATGTCGAACGCTGCGATTAGCTGTTGGCGAGCCCTGCTCGTCACCGCTGGCCACGTCAGAAATCGGGGAAGTGTAGGCAAGCTGGGGATGGCCAGGAGCCACCAGACATAAGGGGCTTGCTGGCAGATCTGGTGTCGTGGTCGGAGCACGCGGATGTTCAGAAGGTGGCTCCTGGACTGCTCGTAGTTGTGCGATGTTCATTGCGCGACGTGCAGGAAATGATTGTTTTTTGACTAATCCTCCACATGCCCAAACCAGACGTAAGAGAACTGCACGCTGCCAGATCCGCTTGATCGACCTCACGATGGTATGCGAATGTATGTGATAAGCGCCATACCTTGTCGAGGAAGACTTCACCGAAGCGTTGCTCGGCCGTCCAGTTCTCGGTTTTCCTGTTCAGCTCCATCAGAAAGTCTTCGTGAATTTCGAGTATCTCGGGCACCTGCAGCATGCGAAAAGGCGCTCAGGATTGAAACAAAGACGGATGAACGAATCACAACCGAACACGTTCAGCTGTGGGAGTGGGCTGAAAATTTCATTTCTACGCTCACTCATGCCAAGCAGGAAGTTACCATTACAAGCTTTACGGAGACGCAATTCT